AAACAAAAATCACAAAAAATCACAAAAACCGATAAACCAATAAAAAGCCGATAAAAAGCGATAAATTTATTGGTTTATTGGGCACCTTGTTTTTTCAGGTTTTTTTTTTCAAAAAAAACAATGTTTTTTGTAAAAAAAACAGGAGTTTCCAAGAAATTCCCCGAAAAAGCGAGAAAGGATGAGAAAGTCCCAGGATCAGACCCAAAATTCAGATTCAAAGCCATATACAACAGCATGTGAGTTGCTTGGCTGGCTATTAATTCTTAATTTACTCGGCGCTGCAACTGTGTACTTTGCGAGGGCAGGACCAAAAATGGGGTTGACAGGGCAGGTGCTGGCAACATCCAATCCACATTGTGACAAAAAAAGACATGGCTTGAGGTGACATGTGCCATATAGGAGCGTTTGGCCAAGAAATCACATACATCATACATCTATATGTATAATCTAGATCATCTGGCTCTGCAGAAAGGTCTGAGACATGCCTGTCTTGACCCGGTGCCGTGGCAAGACTCCTGAAGGTGAAGCCATGAAAGCTTCCCCAAATCCGAAGAAGCTGAAGCAGGCTGCTCGGAGGCTCAAGGAAGCAAAGAAAAAAGCAGAGACGCAAAAGAACACAGGAAAAGCCAAGAAGAAAGAAAAAGTGGACACAGGAAAAGCCAAGAAGGAAGAAAAAGTGGACACAGGAAAAGCCAAGAAGGAAGAAAAAGTGGAACCTACTTTGAAGACTCCAAGCCCGAAGCCCATTCTGAAGAAGGCTATGCGCTGGGGTTCATGCATGGCAGGCATTGTTTGGAACAGGTTGTTTATGTTGTCCATTCGGTTCAGTATACAGTATCCACATCAAAAACATTTTCAATACATCTAAAGTTTTCAATCCAATCAGCTGAATTGCATCTCAAAAGTTTTGTGTCTCCCCAACACATGTCTGCTGGCTCGCAGGATGATGCTAGCTCTACGACGAAGACCAAGAGAAGGACCAAGAGGAGGCTGAGTTTTGTAGAACCACATCAGTGCATCCCAATCGAAGCTGAAAACAAGCCAGGAGACAAAAAAAACAAAGATATGGCCACAGGTCAGGCCATGTCAGAGGATGAGGCTGAGAGAATCATCAAGGAGATGTCCAAGCCAAGTGCAGAAGCAGCTGGTCACAGTGACTCAGAATCGACATGTGATGACGCTAGCAGCAACAGCAGCAGCAGCAGTGAGGACAAAGATGGAAGTGGAGATGAGGATGAAGCAACAGAAAGCGAAGGTGAAGTTTCAGAAGAACAGTCTGAAGATAGCTCGGACTCAGAGGCAGAGCAAGTGCAGGAAGATGAAGGCAGTTCGGATGAAGAGACTGTAGATGGGAGCGACACTGAAGAAGAAGAAGAAGCTGAGGATGCAAAGAAAGGTGCCATGGCGAAGAAAGCGCAGTCTGAGGCTGAGGAGAGCGACAGCGACAGCTCCGATGAGAGTTGTGGAGAGCCTGAGGTGACAAAGAAGATTGCAGCCACCAAGACACCCGAGGTGAACAAGCAGGATGAGCCGAAGAAGAATTACAAGAAGAAGGCAGGACAGGAAGAGAAGAACACAAAGAAAAGCAGCAAGAAAGAAGATAAGAAAGAGAAGAAAGAAAAGGCTTCAGCTGCTAAGACTACGGAAGACGAGAAAAAACAAAAGACAAAGAAAACGAAGGAAAGCAAGACCAAGCCCACAGAGGAGCCTTGTCTGAAGATCGAAGACCAGAAGGACCAGGAGAAGAAACGAGGCAGAGGCAAGGACGATGGCAAGTCAAAGGAGAAAGTGACTTCGAAGCGTTCCAAAGACAAGGGCGACCAAAATGAGACAGGAGGGCATGATGCATCAAAGCTGGCTGTGGTGGAAGCCAATTTGGCAAAGACTGCGGCACCGACTTCTGAAGAAGCGAAAGGCAGCAGCAGCAGCAGCACTGAGGACAAGATCAACTCCAGCACGCACCACACGGAGTATCTGCGATACAGGAGGTGGATTCGAAACGGCAAAAGGTTTCCTACTGTGCTTGGATCCCGGTTGACAACGGAGGAGGGGCGGGCAAGCCTTTTTGTCGACTGGGTCAAGTGCGGAGGCGATGTGGACTCCATCATATGCAAGCACGAACAAAGCCTGACTGAGTCCAGATCTTCACAGGTGAAGTATGGATTTCGCTCAGAAAGGTGGCTCAATGAGAAGTACGGGGAGGAGAAGGCAAAGCGTATAGTTGGTCGAAAGACCAACTTGGGGCTTTTGATCCCTGACCCAGAGGAGCCCGAGGACAACCTCTACTTCTGCCTCATCGACATCGACCTGAAAAACATCAACGAGCTCAAGAGGGTGACAAGCTTGGAGGCCAAAGGACAGGTAAGTGCCGAAATGGTGAAGGCATTCACCGAAGCCGGAGGAGTCTTAGATGGAAGCGCTCTGAAGGGTGACATGTCTGGGAAAGAAGGCATGAGCAAAGCAGTCTCGTTCATGGGGGCCGTGGGCAAGACCGGACAAGCACAGGGGACAGGGAAGGCTGCAAGAAGGAATGGGAAAGCCAACAAGGGGAACTCAGACAGTGCTCCGGCAAAGGAAGTCAAAGCAGAAACACCGCAGAGCAAAGCGAAGACTCTGATCACCAAAGTGCTGAAAGATGCAAACACCTGCAGGCTGGGTTTAAACATGTTTAAACTGTTTGCGGAGGGCAGTTGATAAAAAGCAAGTTGTGTTTAGTTCTCAAGTTACTGATGTGGACTTAAACGGAGCGTCCAAACTCTTTCCATACAGTTTCGGAATATTTGCTGGCAAACATTCACACATATCTACATTTGTGAAAAATGCAAACATGCATCATGCATACATTCCATAGGTATATGCTTTCAGATGCATATCACAAAAAAAAGGAAAGGGAAATACACACACACCTATCTCGTGAAAATACATGTATTGTTTGTCCATCTCCCACGTTTATGTTTGCTGAAGTTGTTGTGACCTGTTGCAGGGACCTGGCATTCCGCTTGAAGCCGCTGGAGATGTCCGATCAGTTGATCAACCAGCTGAAAGCGCTTCAAAGTGGATTGGAGAAGCAGGCACGAGCACTTCAAGATCTCATCAACCAGGACAAGAACAAAATGAAACATTACACGCCAGTCATGGAGGAGGCCATATGGCAGCACCACAGTTTTGAAATTTCACTGGGCAGCATTGCATGCTTATAATTGGGGGACCTGTGTGTTTTGTTCATGGGGTGTGTTGTACTGTATGTTCAACGGACTGTTTAAAACAAAACAACAAACAGTTTTCTGGCTATTCAACCCTGCAGATCGCAAATCTCAACCAGCTGGCCAAGAACAAGGTTGAGTTGGGCAAAGCTTTGTTGCGCGCTGCTGAAAAGGCAACCAAGGGTTCTGAGGAGAAGGCCAAGGAGCCAGAAACTGGCACTGGGTCTACGGACAAGAACAATAAGAAAAGGAAGAAAGCTTCCTGAGCTAGATTTCTATTTTGGGATCATGAACCGATGATCTCAGTGGGGCTTAGCCTATAGCCGTGATGCTCTGCAGGACTTAGAATTCTCATGTCTTTACAGTAAAAAAACACAAGAAACATGTAGCTGAAACTACAAAAGAAATTGTGCTGGGTGTCTTTCCGATCATGTCCATAGACAAGCATCTTAGACGGTCTTCTGGCTTACTTTGGGTCAAGCTTGTGTTGAAACCTTTGCGGGATTACCTGCAATGTGGCAAGCATGAATCTCTGGATCCACAAGGGTCTACATTATTCACATTTGAGCTTTTGCGACAGCAACCAAAGAGCATTCAGCGCGAGTCAGAAAAAAAAGGTGCGCAGTACTTCATCCAATGTCTCTTCAAATCATAGATCCATCATAGCATTCAATGAGCTCCCATTGATAGCTTCACGCAGTGGCACCCTAGTCCACAAGAATTATGTATACATGTATATGGACAATATATGTTGAGATACTATTCTTATGCTGGCATTCTATCTACCTGGAACTATAGTTCAAATCCCTTCGCAGGGCCACAAGTTTGCGCTCCAGAACCCGGTCTCCTCGAAATCGAGATCACCAACGTGGCCATGCTGATGCAGTGACCTCAAAGAGCCGGGTGAAATCTTTCAGAAACCAAGGAGATAGAGATCAAAAGGTGGGTAACCCCAATGTTTTCAAGTGGTTTTAGTTCCATGACAAAGTGCATATACTAGTATCCAGTATTCATTCTTATGGGATCTTATGAGGAAACCATGTCATAACAGGGGTGGTAAAATCGGGGCAAATGGGGATGACATTTCACAACCACCTAAATTTCAAAAACCTTGCGTCCCTGTTCGAGGATTGGATTTGGTTGCCAATGCATCTTATTCTGCCCGACGACTATTGAAAAAGATCTGCAACGGGGCCTGGTGGATGAAAAAGGGTTCCAGCTCATGACTCACGATGTTTGTTTTAAAACAGGGAACAACATAACTCCTTCCAATCTATTCATCCCTCAAACAATCAATCCATCCTGGTTTGACTTCATCGTTATAAGATGTTATAAGCTGTGTGTTCCCAAAACATTTGACTACAGCTTTGGAATCCATCTATCCTTCTGCAACCCTACTCTTACAAAAAGGGTCAGTAGATAACAATGGAATCCGGGACTCCCCAAACAAGGAGATTAACAAATATATGTATGAATATACAAGCTTCTCTACATATACAGAGTTGCATATTTAGTAGGATTACATCTTCATCGGTTTCGAATGCGAGCGCGGCTTTACAATTCAAACCCTGCAGAAGACATCGGCTGCTGAAGCTTGCAGAGATGCCAAAGGACTTCTCAGAGATCATTCTGACTGCGCTTTGGCTAGCCTACTCGCATCATGGTCTGCAACAGCAGGGCATGAAGAACGCAGTTTTCAGAGGCACGCGTGTCAACTTTTTGACTTTCAATCCAAAAAGAAAGATATTTGTTTTTGATGGTTTCACTTTTATTTTGAAACGGTTTTTGGTCTGACGTGTTTTGATTGGAAAGTGGTTGCATCAGTTTTGAATCAATGAGACCCTTGCAGGTGGTATGAGAAACATGCCAATATTCCCTTGGGTACTGTCTCGATACCACACCTTGTGGAATGTGAAAGCCCTGAAGGACACCATCTTGAGGTGGTGGACCGAGATATTCCAATTTTGTGGCCATGGGATGTGCTACACTGGCGAGACAGTATCAGCCATTTGGGCTGCTGGATAGCTGACCAACCTCATCTTGCTGGTGTCAAATGTATGGCATCTTGCTTTGACCAAGATCTATCTGTAAGTTTTGCAAACAGTTTTGTCCTCACGGACTGATTTTGTGTTCAGAAAAACATGTTTACAGTTTAATTGCGGTGATCACCCATGGTGGCTTAGGACTATTGGCGCCACATGGAGGGCCAGGAGTTCATCGAATCGCTGGATTTGAGTCAACCCGACAAAACAGTCCCATTGGTGTGGCATGTGGATGGAGTGAAGGTCTACAAGAACCAAAAGATATGGGTGTATAGTTACTCTTCCATGCTGCGAAAGAAGGGAAACTCATTTGAAAACAAAACTGTGCTTGCGATCATTCGGGACTCTGCTGTGTCCAAGCCACGCACGCATGATGCAATGGGCAAGGTCATTGCATGGATTTGCAAAACACTTCAAACTGGAATTTATCCTGTTACAGACTGGAAAGGGAATCCATGGCCAGCTGGTTCAACGGAGTCGCAAAATGCTGGGAGCTACTTCTCTGCAGATCGATGGCGTTGCTGTTTCTCAGCATTCAAAGGAGATCTAGAAGCAAGGGTGCAGATTCACAAAATGATTCGCAACTACATGGCCAACATGATTTGCGAGCATTGCCCTGCTGGAAAACTTCTTTCTTACGCTGACTTCAAGAAGGATGCACCATGGTCCACGGTGAGGTTTTCTCATCAAGACTTTTTGGATTTGAATCCCCCTGGTCGGCAATCTGCATGGGTGGACGTGCCTGGATGGCGAAAAGAACGCAATCTTGAGGACAGATTTCTTTTGGTATGCGCGTGGTTGGAGAAAGTTTTTTAAAGATATATACATGCATCTGTGTTTCAGTTTTGTGTTCAATGAAACCTGTCGGTTTCAACCTGAAGGATTTGCTACACACACTACATCAAGGTGTCAGTCTTTGTGCAATCGCTGCATTGGTTACTGACCACTACAACTGCAAGCATCCTGGTCAAACGCTGCAAGATTTGGAACGATGCCTGCTGCAAGCATACAAGCATTACCGTGCATGGTGCAAAACGAAAAAAAATTCTGGTAGCAGCCTGCGTTTTAATTTGAACCGCTTTGGAAGGGACGGGTGGAAAAGCATGCCAGAGCTGTCGACGCAATACAAAGCGAGCACAGTGAAATACATGCAGTATTGGCTGCATGACTTTCTCATGGATGAGCCGGAAGTGCCACATTCAGCAGACCGTCGCCATTGTTCCTATTCTTTGGCAATGTTTCAATACATGCTTGACACCCACAGTGAATGGTTCACTCAATGTCAGGCAGACCGTACTGCGCAATTTGGTTACAGCTTTCTGCTGTTCTACCAGAAGTTAGCAGTTCGATCCAGGTCAGAACCCAGGAACAACTACAAGATTGTCCCGAAATTCCACTACTTTTTTCACATGCAAGAGTACATTGAAGAAACCCTTCGGAATGTCAGGCATTGGGTCTCCGAAAATGTGTTCCTTACGCTTCGCGTGCTTAAAGGTGTTAAATTCCCAGATGTTCCCATATTTATTTTAAATTCTTTTGATTTTTTTTATCCCCAAGTTCAGGTATGAGCATTGTTATCCGGATGAGTCGCTGATGGGCCAGTTGGGAAAGATCGCATCCCGATGTCATGCCAACACGATGGAAAGAACGTGCCTTCACAGGTACCGGGTCATGCTCGACCTTTTCTTGGCTTCCGGGCTCAATGAAGATGACCCGGAATGACGCTGAATACTCACATGGAAAAAAATGTTGCGGCATGCGGCGTTTTGAAAACCCTCCAATTCATACTTTGCCATGCTCATGGCACCATGGTTGAGGGAGAGAGGGGTAGATACACATAAATAGATATATTTACATGTACGTGTGCATATCGGTGGTTATAACATATATATATATACACATATTTATATTTATATATATATATATATACAGATCACTCTATTTTCAGCAGCTTGAGTTGGAATGCGTCTTTGCATGTTCCAAATCACCCCAAACCATTGTTCAGAATTTCCGTGGGTGAATTTGGGGACCCAAGAAAATGAACTGAAATTCCTGTGGCCTGCAGGGTTTGGGATAGAAATTATGTTTTGTTAATCTATCTTTCGGGTATTTTGGGGGCATGGTCAAGATTAACCATTTATTTGGTTGCTTTTTGGAATCCCATCTTTGCGGTTCACCTATTTGGGCAAACAATTTTTTCCAATTTCCAGTGGGCACCCTTGAAGTATACTGTTTGCGTCCATGCCGGTCCTGTCTAAGTAGACCACTACCACTTTACTCTAAATGTTTCATACACACACATGTATATATAAATAAATAAATAAAATAAATATCTATAAATATATATGTATATCAATCCCGTAAATCTACCTACTAGAAGCAAACAAACATATTTACCTACGTATATCGAACATAAGAGTATGTTTTTTTTGGGCAGGGTTGGCTGAAACAAGTGCAGTTGCAATGTTTCAGTGTGTCAAAACCTGTACACAACTTGATGCATGCATTACAACATGCATTTTTCCACGGCCAAGGCGTCTAGAAAGAAAGAGCATGCATTACAACATGTATTTTTCCACGGCCAAGGCGCCTAGAAAGCAAGAGCATGCATTACAACATGTATTTTTCCACGGCCAAAGCGTCTAGAAAGCAAGAGCATGCATTACAACATGCATCACTCACGGCAAAAGCGTTTAGCAAGCAAGAGCATGCATCACAACATGCATCTCTCATGGCCAAAGCGTCTAAGCAACAGGTGCTGGCATTGCAGCATGCATCTCTTTCATATCCAAAGCTGTACATAAGAGGAACATTCATGGAGCATCAAATATGACCAAATATGTTTGCTCACGACAAAACCCAAAGTTGCCAAATTGACAACTTTGATGATCTTAGTTGTCAAAGGTGTGCAAAGGACACCTTTGGGAGGTCTAGGAAGTGCAAGATGATGTCACTGAACTGTTCGATTTGTTTCATGCCCATTTTTGGGGTTGGAAAGGTATATAGAATTTGGACTCCCAAAGGCGGTCCTCCCCAGTTCAGCACGTGGATGTTTGTGTCATCCTTCCTGCCTTTTGTGGTTTCATGTTTTCTGGCGAACTTTTGAAGCAGCTGGGTGCGTTCCGAGCGTCATGTCGCAACTCCAAAAACAGGATTGCCACACGCTCCAACGCGTGGATTTTGCGCGCCCGTTTTTGGTCTCGCCTGCTATTAAAATAGAAATTGAAAACAGCCTCGAAATGGCCCTGTCCAAAGCGAAAAGCGGTAGCGCGTGGCAATCCCATTTTTCGCAGTGTGGAACCTTGCGACCTGCTCGAAACACGAAGCTCTTACATTACGCAAATAAATTAAATAAATGAAAGTTGGGTTTTGTTCAAGCAGCAAGCTTCAACGCAACTGGGGAGGACCACTTTTTGGAGTCCAAAAAGCCAATGGGTTTACGGCCTGGAAAATGAGATTGCTGCAGTGACCTTTTTCGCGAAAAATGGCGCAGCTTTACCAAAAAGCAATACTTTTGCAAGTGTAACGGAATGGCAGGATTCCGGGGAACACGGTTGCTGATTGAAGGTCTCTAGCCCCGCCTGCATGTCGCCAGTCTTTGCCAAAGCATCATGTTGTTTGGAATTGTTTGGGTGTTGTTGTCGCAGGCTTTCGCAACATGGCGTGGGTGAGGTGCTGATTCCGCTGCGACATTGCTGGCGGGATGCTTTTTCTGTGTTTGCGTTTGCACTGCTCAGTTTTGTTTTGGTCTCTTGATGCGTTGTTTGTTTTTGGGCTCCCCCCCCTTCGCCCCTTATAGACTCCTAACGCGGCAACTTTGCGGGTCGGGTTGTGTATGTCGCCCGGAGTTCAGTATCATCCGGTTAAAGAATAATAGTATATATTTAAAACCGGATGAATCCTTTGTTTACATTGGGGGAAGAGTTTCGATTTTCATGACTCCAGCAGATTCCGTAAGGAGGCTGGAGATGCAAAACTTCCGTTTTACCACAGTTTTGTGCCAGTTTTGATGTCTTTAGCTGCGGAGTCTTGCCGGAGTCGGGCGGAGTCGGTACACCTGCTGAAACCCCATTTACAATGTGGAAAGGGTTGAAAGAGTTCCAACTTTGCGACTCCAGACGACTCCGCAAGAAACCGCAAGAAGTGCAAGATGATGTCACTGAACTGTTCGATTTGTTTCATGCCCATTTTTGGGGTTGGAAAGGTGTATAGAATTTGGACTCCCAAAGGCGGTCCTCCCCAGTTCACCACGTGGATGTTTGTGTCATCCTTCGTGCCTTTTGTGGTTTCATGTTTTCTGGCGAACTTTTGAAGCAGCTGGGTGCGTTCCGAGCGTCATGTCGCAACCCCAAAAACAGGATTGCCACACGCTCCAACGCGTGGATTTGGCGCGCCCGTTTTTGGTCTCGCCTGCTATTAAAATAGAATTGAAAACAGCCTCGAAATGGCCCTGTCCAAAGCGAAAAGCGGTAGCGCGTGGCAATCCCATTTTTGGCAGTGTGGAACCTTGCGACCTGCTCGAAACACGAAGCTCTTACATTACGCAAGTAAATCAAAGTTGGGTTTTGTTCAAGCAGCAAGCTTCAACGCAACTGGGGAGGACCACTTTTTGGAGTCCAAAAAGCCAATGTGTTTACGGCCCCGAAAATGAGATTGCTGCAGTGACCTTTTTTAGCGAAAAATGGCGCAGCTTTACCAAAAAGCAATACTTTTATGGGTGTGAACGGAATGGCAGGATTCCGGGGAACACGGTTGCTGATTGAAGGTCTCTAGCCCCGCCTGCATGTCGCCAGTCTTTGCCAAAGCACCATGTTGGGACTCCTCCTGTAAGGAGGATACAAACCTTATTCCTAAAAGAAAAATTTTGGGTGATCCAAAATTAGCAACTGGCGTTTGGTGAACACATGCGTTTAAACACTGTGCCAAACAACTTGAAAACTTTTTGAGGTTTTCTTTGAACTGTTTGTCCTGTTTCAACTGTCCATGGTTGTACTGTTTGTTTAACATATCGATGTTTTACAGTACTCCACTTTTGACCTCTGTGTGAAACACATCTGAATTTTATATTGCATGAGAACCATTTTGGTTTAAGGGAGGGTTGTGGTGGGACCATTCGTGTATTTTTACTCGTTGATGAGCAATGGGGTTATCGTTTGAGATGACTGTCTTTGCTACGGACGTTTCAGTGGATGTCGATGTGCCTGATGGTAATGACAGTTCTGCACTCAGAGAACATGCTGCAGTTGAAAACGCAGCACTGGAAGCATTACACTGGTTTTCGTTGCAAGAAGAAATTGCAATTACAGAAGGTGCTGTTTCTAGGAACAGTTTGTTTGCAGGCACCACTTCAGGATCTGATGGTTTTGCTTTAGATGCAGATTTTGTTCAAGTCTTGCCCATGACAGACAGTGCACATGATGTCAGCGTGTTGGAGGGCTATTCAGCAGATAATGCGTTCAGCTACACAAGATCCAGACTGGAGCCACAAGGCATTCAACACTTCTGGGAGTCTGGTTTTTTGGAACGACCTTTTCGATCCTAGCAAGACCTTTCTCAGCTCTTTTGACACAACTTCAAACGTCCTGTTGATCCTGTTCATGGAGATGTTCATGAAGCTTTTGAACAACAAACGGAACGTAAACCGAAGGCTGCAAAACTGAATGCAACGTTCATGGACCATGTCAGGGATGCTAGCATTATGAATGGAAGGACAAGAGGGAAGCAGATTGGCAAACAGCCATATTCCGATGGCACTCCATGTTGGGCACCTGGTCGACAGACGTTCAAGTGGTTTCGCAGATTTTTGGTAGAGAAAGGTTTCAAGGAACAGGCGCAAATTTTTTGGTTGACATCTTTTACACAAAGCCCCATCGACCATTTTTAAACGATGCAGGAGCATGTCAAAGATGACCAGTTACTTTGTTGACATGGGACGAGTTTCTCCTTGTGGGGAGCCGGACGTCTATGAGTTCCTGTGTGTCGAACGCGGCAATGGTGCTCCAATTTCAAGGTTGAAGGGTTACATAGAAGTTCTCACATTCTGTCGACATGTTTTGGGTGTTGTGGCATTCGATGATACTACATGCAACAGACGATGTCAGGGTGTGGCAGCCTTAGACCTGAACCACATCGTGAGACAAGCAGACCCATGACTGTCAGACAACTTGAAACTTTGCACCACATTTTATTCAATGATGACGAACTGTGGAATCGAGTTTTGTGGCATGTTGCTCTTTTGTGCATATGCTCGACCACGATGGAGCGACGCACAGCATGGTGAGATGCGCATCGAAGACGGGGACTCGTCGGGAGCTTGTGCTTATTTGGAAGTGGCGACAGGGGTGCATAAAACTGCACAGGCCTTAAAACTGAAACATCAGTACCTCCCACTTGTTGCTCCATGTGTAGGAGTTGTAGAAGGCAATTGGGGTGAAGAATGGTGCAATTGCAGGAAAAAACTTGGCTGCTTGATTTGACAGTTTATCCCTTGATGCCAACGCCTTATGCTAGCCAATTGCCAACAGTGAGACCTTTGAGCTCGACAGAGGATGCTCTTTTGAGGAATGTCTGAGCCTTGGATTCCACACCCATAATTTAAAGATGGCTTTGTGTTACTCAAGAGACGGTGCTGCACGACCACTGCGAGTCTTGGAGCAGTTTCTTAGGGAGGTGAGGGAAAAGATTGTTAACCCGGATGACACCAGAAGTGGCCGACTCAGAAT